GTACCCCATGCGGCAGCGAGGGGCTGTGCCAGGCCGGGGTGCTCCACGTGGCAGGTGTACTTCCACTCCTCCCCAGGAAGCGTGGCCACGGCCACCCAGGCCTGGTAGGTCCCGTCCCCACTGGGCAGCACGTCCTCGGGCCCCACGTCCTTGGCAGCCACTGGCTGCCTGTCCTTCAGCCACCTCATGCTGATGTTCTGGGGGTAGAAGCTCTGAGCTCGACACCACAGAGTGGTCACTGTGGGGGCCACGTGACGCGTCACCTTCACCAGAGGAGGCGCTGGATGGGTAGGAAGAAGCGTCTGGACGGGGGAGACCCTCCCACACCACAAACACCAGAACTGTCACCTCCCTTCCTCTGTGTGTGGGTAGCGGATATCCTGCTCGGGCACGTCGCGCTGCAGAGACACTGTGTGCTTTGAAACAAGTCCCAAGATTCTGCTCTGAGATGGTGCCACATGGAGGACAGTCACGGCCGTGTCAGCCTGTCCTCTCGTCCCATACGTGAGGATGTGGCCCTGTTGGCCACATCTTCCCTTCTTTCATATATTAAGTTGGATCCTATAAAATCGCCCTTTATGCGGGTGGAAAATGACTGGGTGCTGTCGGCACCGGCACCGGGTCCAAGCTGATAAGTACGCTCATGAGAAGTGGCTTAGAGACGGCCAGCCTGCAGGGACCCTGGCCACGTTCTGTGAAAGTAACCTTTGACCTGCTGCTACCCGGTGTCAGCGTGGTAACCGACATCTCTGCTTCTGAGAGGTGAAAACGCAAGCACGGGTCGTGGTTACAGGGAGAGGCCACAGATACTTCTCGTTGGCCATATCCATGGAGAAAAGGTAAAACCACGACATGTGCCTGTCACACATCTCACTTCTAGGGTGCAGGCCTTGGACCTCAGCACGTTCCCGGAAACCCCAGTGGCGTCCGTGCCCGCGCCCGTCCCCCCGTCCCCAGAGGGTAGGGCAGAGACGCTCAGTGTACCTCGCTGGTCCAGGACCCCTGTCCCCAGCTCCAGCAGCTGTTGCAGCTGCTCGGGGCAGTCCCGCTGCAGGTAGGCCCTGTTCTGCTTGGCCCGGATCCTGATCTCTTCCCACTCCAGCTTGGTGGCCTGGGCCCTGGGCTCCGCTGCTCTCCAGTCCAGCGTCTCCGGGCGGAACGTGAGATGGTCCTCCCCGTCGAGGCCGTACTCCCAGAAGCCCCTGGTGCCGTTGCCCTCGCGCACCTCGCAGCCCAGGACGACCTGCAGGATGTGGGGCTCCGGCACCACCTCCAGATTCGTGACTGAAACCAGAGGAGGAGGGCCCTGTTCGCGCCGTCCCGGGGTGGGTGTGGGGGGACCTCGGGAAGGTAACGCCCTCCTCCCCGCCCCCCAGGCGGCTCCCTCGAGGAGCACCTTGTGGGAGGGCCCCCCACGCACCCCTGCTCTGGTTGCAGTTGTCCATGATGGTCCAGAAGTCAACGATGAACATGTGGTCCCAGCCTTTCAGACTCTGGCTCAGCTGGAGCCACAGCTGGCTGGAAACCCTGTCCCTGACCCAGGCAGCACGGGGCTCAGCCTGGCGACTCTCGTGATCATAGGACACAAACAGCTGGTCGTCCACGTAGCCCAGGGCCTTGAACAGGGGCAGCCCGAGGTCAGGGTTCGAGGCACCCATGAAGAGGTAGCGCAGACAGTGTGCCCCTGGGGAGAGAACGGGCCTCTGTGGGCCCAGTAGGACTGGAGCCGAGGCCCACATGCCCCCCAGGGACGCGCTGTCTGCCCCCTTGCATGCTCTCCCTCCAACGCCTATGTCTGCCACCCCCTGGTACACGCCCAGTTGTGGCAGGCTCAGTTGTGGCAGGCTCTCTTGGAGCCAACAGGCTCTCGAGAACCCCAAGTGTCTCGAGCTACGGCGCCGAGCTCAGGAGCTGGTGCTTGGAGCTGGTCCTCGGAGACGATGAGGTCCGAGGCCCGCGGAGCGTGCTGCTGAGTGTGACTGCCTCCACCTCCCAGCCCCTTCCTGTGTGTCTGTGGTGGCTGTTAAATGCTGGACCTGCTGACGAGAGCCCCCATAGCCAAAAAGGACCAGACCTCCAGGCCAGCACGCTTCCCTGCACTGTCCCTCCATCACAAAGCGGGGGACGTCGGCGATGGACCCCAGGGCGCGGAGGGCGCTCAGCGCAGGCCTGCTGGACGAGTGGACGGCGATGACTCCGACATGCCAGTCTCCGGCCCTGAGCTCCAGACTCCGATACCCAAATGCCTACAGCGACCCCGCCAGCAGACAGCTGATGGGAACCCAAAACTTAGTAAGTCTCAGACTGCTCTTTCTGCTTTCGTCATGTCAGAAATGGCATCACCTGTCACGCCGTCACCAGGCCCCAAACGCAAACTATTAAACGACAGAGCCGCCTCGGTCTCTCTCTCACCCACACGCGGGTCCTTCAGCGGCTCCCTCCAAAGTGTGTCCAGAGAACCACTGGCCCTCGCCACCGCCCTGCTGCCACCTGCCCGGTGTCACGGCTGTTACCGCTGCCCCCTGCACCCCGCTTTCCTCACGCCATCGGAAGCTGTGATGGCACACGTCTCTCGCCAGCCGGAATCCCCACGGCCGCCCGCCAGACCTGGGAGCCCTGCGCGTGGCTCCCTCGCTGTGGCATCACCCGTCCTGGCCCCCGAGGCCCGGTGCCCCCACCGGGCCTGGCTCGTTCTCCAGCACCGCGACTGGCAACCAGGTGGGGCGACAGTCAGCCACATTCGGCAGACGTTTTGGTTGTCACACCTGGGGCAGTGCTGCTCGCATCTAGTGAGCGGAGGGAAGGGACGCTGCTAGCCACCCTGCAGTGCACGTGACAGTCCCCGTGATGACAAGTCACTGTGCTGAGGTCGCAAGCCCCACTTCCCCTGCCAGGCGCACTCGGCTCCTCCCAGCCGGTCGGCATCACCCTCACTTCCTTTGGTCCCTGCTCAAAGGCCAGCCGGCGAGCTCCAGCCCCACAGCACCATCTGTCGCCTGCAGTCACCCTCCCGCCCCGCCCAGCCCCACGGGAAAGCTACCTGTCAGGACTCTGCCCGTTTCCTCCCCTGGGTCTGACACCACAGCTCGGCTGGCACCCCTTCCCCACGATGAATGAGGAAGCCTGGCCTGCCACATCGAACCCCACAATCGACCTCCATTGCGGTGTGACCTTTAACAACTGAAGCCCTGAGGCGGGGACACAGGCTCCAGGGTGACCCCGAGCACAATCACCAGGGAGCAAACCAGGCCTCCCTCCCGACATCCGTGCACACGGCCACACTCGGGGTGCCCCGAGGCTGTGACCAGCGTGGACAGGCCACGCCTGCTCCACAGTCAGCATCAGGGTGCAAGGGGCTCTTGAGGGGGACACCGCGCGCAGTCCACCAGCCCCGGCGGCGGCCCCTGTGTTAAGGCCGAGGGGCGCTCCGGCCGCGGGGGCCCTGGGTGAGGACCTCCGGGGCGGGGGGACGAGGAAACACGACAAACACAAACGCTGGTAGAGGCGAGAAACCCCAGACCCAAGTCGAGGGACCCTCAAGCCGAGCTCGGCCTCCAGGAGAAACGGGGAGACTGACGTCCAGACGCCCGGGGTCGGGGCGAGGGTGGCCCCGGGTGCAGCTCCCACGGCGCGGCCCCGCCCACTTCCGGGACCCCGCGCCG